GGGCTGAATAATTTCACCCCCCAGGGTAAGAGGTGGAATGTCAGGACCGTCTTTGGGAGGCAGCATCAATAACCACTCGGTCTTGTCTGGATTGAGTGCAAGCTTGTTCGCTTCCATCCAGACCCTGACAGCCTCCAGGCACTGGCACATCACTTCAACTGCTTCACAACTTATAGTCATTTCTCAATAAAGGTATTAGTCAATAATTTCTTGTTTAAAGTCAGGTCCTGTTCCTTTTTAGATACTAATGCTACTGTATATTGGTTTCTTCCCAATGTTCATATATTTGTGCCCTTATGAAGATTATTCTCAAAAATATATTTAATTTTGCTTTGCAATCCTCTACTAACTTTCCATTTGTACCAGTATCTCAGTCAATCTTCATCTAAGAGCCTTATTTCCTTTTAAAGTTAAACCCACTATGTTGTTGTCTGAGAAAGTCTTTGGTAATAACTTCACTTATGATCATTAATAATCAAAGACACTTGTTTTTTCTTTCTTTTCTTAGTTCCAAAGAGATGGTGACTCAACAATTTCACTTCATTCTTTCCTGCCAGTTGGAAAAAATAGTATAAATAAAGTAGAATAAGCTGATTTGATCATGCTATCTGTCTGGTCTTCCTCCTAAAGTTGACAGATATATACCATCTGGTGAATATTTATAGATAAGTATGGGAAGAGCAAGCGTATTGTTCCATATGTTCATTTTGATTTCCCAGAGCAGTCCCCATGATTAGTATTAAATTGGATTAAAGAACAGATTGTTCTTATAGTCTTCACTGGGAATTATGCAAGGTGCAGACAGATACAACTGGAAATTGAGAAAGGTTATACTTTAACATTGTACTAGCCTTGCAATAGAATCAACTAGTAGTGTCTGCAGGCTCTCGGTGCTTTCATTAGAAAACAGTGTCAAGTTCCAAAGTCCATCCCTTTTGACTGTGTGCATATTGTCATGATCATGCAACAATGAATCAGAGTTTGTATTTACTTTTCAAACCATTGTTGACTTCACCTGCAATGCTCATGGAGTTGAGATAAATTCTTGAATACTAAGATATATTGTATATTGTGGAATCCCAGCAAAATGAAGAAAAGCTGAAAGGCAGAACTAAAATCGTATTGTGATTTACGGTTTAAAAAGAACAAAAGAAAAGTCAAAATATTGTTCACCCCTGGATTATATTATTGATAGATTGATAGATAGATAAATAGTTTGATTGATTTTGATTGATTATGTATGTATCAAAGGTGGCTTCCTACCAGTTCAGCCTGGTTCGGCCAAACCGGTAGTAACTTGGTGGCCTGGGTTGCTGGAACTGGCAGTGCGCCAGGCGTGCCATGTCCCCATAGTGGTATTGCTATGAAAGTCACAGTGGGATTTCAAAAAGGTATAGAAAAAATATTTATGCTTTTGAAATTTGTGTTGGAGAAGACTTCAGAGAATATTGTGGACAGCCAAGAAAATAAACAAATGGATAATTGAACAAAAGAATCCAGAATTCTCAGTCAGGGACAAACGCCTTGTTGTAAATTCTTAAGGGAAAACAAGCTACATTTATCAAATTATTCATTGTCAAATTATTTTTTTCTGCAGTAGTTTCAGAGTTAATGTAGCAATAATTTAAGTTACATAGAAATAGATTCCAGATAGAACAATTGTAATTACACGTTTTTTGTCAATTACTGACTTCTTAATTTATGCTGCTGATTTATTGTCAGAAAGGTAGATACTTACTCAGTTTTATTCCTTTAGTTTTTGTTTCCACCCCAATCAGTGGTTAAAATAATGAGGCGGGTTTTTATTTGTGCTAAAAATGAATTAGTGCAAGGGTTTTCTGACTGCCTGACTGAATTACAATCCACTGAAATTCCAGGTGGCTCAGCACAGATTGTTGTGGATTTTACCTGCTTTAGGTAAGAGTTTAAGCTTCAAAGCACTAATACTTAAGTAAGAAGATTTTCTAATGATGAACAGAGGCTTCTTCTCTGTTCTTGGGGGTGGGAGCACTTGGGGCATGTGAGCATCCCTGAGAATAGGAGTCTAATCTGAGCAGTGATTGGCAGGTTTTATAACTGTAACAGAAAGGAAACATCTAAAGGTAATAAATGACAAAGAACAAGTTTAGCAAATAGCTAAGTACATCCTAGCAGTCAGAAAGTCAACAGAGTATGCATGCCTGTGAATAAAAGCAGAAGAAATCTGTAAGTGAGATGGGTGGTGTCTAAATTAATTAATTAAACAGGCAAGCAAGCAAGCAATCTCATAGGCACAGAGCAGGTGAACTGATGGGCAAAAAAGGGACACAGAGTTAGCCTATGTAAATCTCTAACTATACCCTACTACCCCTTGTACTCAATAGGATATGAGATGTTGAAGAGTCAGTGCATTGGAAGTGTCCTGTTCCATCATGTTATACATCAAGTTAGATAGTGTTATAACTTTAAAAGTTGTGTTTGTTTAACCACAGTAATCTGTAAACCACGGTTTACAGTTTATAATTGACTAATACGTGAAATGAGTCTTTTTGGCTAATTCAACAAACATGTCTTAGAGTTAGTAAACCTTACCTTGGCAGTCCAAATAGCCAATAGTGGGCAGTAAAAAAAAGGTGTTTTTTTTAGCATCTGTTTTTATTTCCAATTCCGAAATGATTGCTTCGTCTGATTAACATATTCTTCAGAATGTTCTTTACTTACCGTATATACTCGAGTATAGGCCGGCCCGAATATAAGCCGAGGCACCTAATTTTACCACAAAAAAACTGGAAAAGTTATTTGGGTATGAACAGGTTGCTTTCCTTGGCAACTTGTGATTGAAAACCCATTTAGCAATAGCAGTTA